CCACTGCTGAGATTGAGCGACTTACTGAATTGCTGAACGCTGAACAGAGTAAACAGACGAAAAGGTCCGTGTTGGAGCTGGACTTCGAGGAAATGCGTGGAGATGGGCCACTTTCCAGGTCGCCTCATCCAACTTCAGACTCGGAGACTGCATCGACTACCTCTTCGCAGAATATTTTCCCGAGATTATCAAGTGAAGAAGCTGATCGTCAGCGTCAAGAAATCCAGCAAGCTATGCAGGAAGAGTCGCCGTTGTCGGCTTATGTTCGCAATATCTTGAAGACTGCCACGGATAAAATCGAAGACAAGTGGAGATCTCGATTCGCCGAGCAGCTCGCTGAACATGAACAAGCGTTGGCTCAAGAGCGTGAGCGATCATCTGCGTCTGTCCTTTCTAGCTCGCGATTGGTGACGGAGACTCTGCACGGCAAGGACGATGAGTTGAAACTCATTCAAGAGCAGAATATTAATCTTAACCAGACGATTCGCCAACTGGAGCTGGATCTGGAAGCCACGCGTTCGGAGCGAGACTTTTTCAAGCAGCAAATGGATGACGAAGACGACGAGCGATCGTCCAGTGCTCACAGCTTCTGGGAGAAAACCACGGATCTGGCCAAGCAGAACCGGAACCTGACCGAGGATTTGTCCCAGGCCAACAAGACGGTCGTTCGTCTGAGCGAGACGATCAGGATCATGAAGACGAAGGCGTCGAGTCTGAAAACGGAGAATGGCGATCGTGTACGTGAGTCCAAGTCTATGGTAGCAGAGAAAAACTTGCTGCAGGACAAGCTGGCTGCTATGGAGCTGAAGTTCGAAGACGAAAAGAATCGCCGTGAGCAATTCCAAGTCAATGTGGAGCAGTTGACAGTGGAAAACACTGCCTTGTACGCGCAGATGGTGGCTTTGCAGACAACTCATGCAGCGAAGATGGAAGATCTGCAGGCCCGCTATGAGAAGCGGAACGTCTCTCTTGCTGGTGAGATGAAGCTCCTTCAGGATCAGAACCGAATGATGCGCAGAAGCGAGCCAAGTACTCAGCGAGACGCGTATGGCAGTAGTGGTGCCAATGGCTTAGCGTATGGAAGTAGTAGTAGCGCTACAACACGAGCTGATGATGAAGAAACAACGCAACGCATCCAAGAGCTGACGGATGATCTCCTGGATGCCCGACGAGAGATCTCGGAGCAGTCCGAGTTGATTGCTGAACTGGAAGTGAAGGTTGCCGAAGGTGAAGCAATTCGCCGCAAGCTTCACAATACGATCCAAGAGCTGCGCGGCAACATCCGCGTTCATGTTCGATTGCGTCCGTTCTTGCCGTCTGACGGCGCGGAAGGAATGGCTGAGAACCCAGAGTCGTCTATTATGTGTGACACTTTTGCCTCGACGGTCACGACCAACGTGGAGAGTCCACATACGTTCGCGTTTGACAAAATCTACGGCCAGGCTGACTCGCAGGAGTTCGTATTCAAGGATGTGTCGGACTTCATCCAGTCAGCTATGGATGGCTACAACGTCTGCATCTTTGCGTACGGCCAAACTGGGTCCGGCCAAGACCCACACCATGCAGGGCAGCGGAAAGGCTCAAATGCGCGGCATTATCCCGCGATCGATGGATCTCATCATTAATTGTTGCGAGGAGTTGACGGCGATGGGATGGAACTTTTCGCTCATGGTGACGTACTATGAGATCTACAATGAGAGCATCCGCGACTTGCTG